GGAGAAAAAATGCCCATTAACCTAGCTTCTTAAAATTATTATTAAATGGGATTTATTATCAGGGTAATTTTTATTGTTTTGATGAAACCATAGGCTTTTTAGAGGTAAAATCAAAAGGCAACAACAAAACAGAGACGAAAAGATAAACTTAGCAATAAAATTAAGTACATGTAGCGGGTTAAACCATCTACTTCTGGTTCCGATTCCAAGGCTATCTTGGTCTACTTACTTTTTTCCTTACGCCTGTTACCCTTCGTCGAGAAGTAAGGATCGCCAACAAGCGTTCTCCATCCAATTCTGTCCTGGACAATCCTTTCCGTTTGTTTCCAGCTGCTACTTATCATTTTGATGTCTCCTTCCGATTCTCGATGCAGTGTGTTCCTTAGTCTTTCTTTTTTTCGTTTCCCTTCACGATTTCAAGTTAGCGTCCGCCTCGTGATGCAGTTTGGTGATTTCCTCAATGTATATCCTATCCACTTTCAGCATCTCTTCCTAATTTCCTCTTCAGCTCGAAATTAGTTTGTTCTCTCCCACAAAAGGCTGTTATTGATGGTATCCGGCCAATGGATGTTGAGTATTTTGCGTAGACAGCTATTTATAAATATTTGTACTTTCTTGATGGTGGTTGTTGTAGTTCTCCAAGTTTCAGCTCCGTAGAGTAGAACTGCCTTGACGTTCGTATTGAAGATTCCCACTTTGCTATTGGTTGACAGTTATCCTGAGTTGCATATATTCTTCAATTGTAGGAATGAGGCCCTTGCTGTGCCGACCCTTGTCTTTAGGTCTGCATCAGATCCTACATGTTCATCGACGATGCTACCCAGGTACATGGAACTTTCCGCCTCTTCCAGAGCTTCTCTATCAAGTGTGATTGGTTTGGTTGATGTTCTCCGCTTTGCATTTGAGGATCTTGCTTTTCCCTTGCGTATGTTGAGGCCTACTGATGCAGAGGTTGATGCTACACTAGTTGTCTTCATCTGCATTTGTCGATGTGTATAGGATGGAAAGGCCAGGTCATCTGCCAAGTCCAAATCTTCTAATTGATTTCAAGCTGTCTATTGTAATTCGTGTTTCCTCTCAGATGATGGAAAGTGTATAAATTGAAATATACTAAGTTCCAAGGTTCAAACTCATGTCAGTGAAAAAGAATGATGCACAACAGTGCACCAATTCATGTTATCAAATCTCTTAAGAAATAAAAAATGTATAAAAATAACTTAGATAAACAAAAAGGATATAAACAGGACTATATTAATAAGGAAATATATAGCGTTTAAAATTTACACGGATATATGCGCGCTGTCATAGTGTGAATATTACATCATTCAAGTGCTTCAGCTGATAAATGTTCCTAACCTACATAGGTTTACTTACTCAAGATGCCCATAACTTTACGCGCGAGATTATTGAAGGTATTAGGTCGAAAAAGTAAACCGATAGATGAATTAATGGTCCTATGGTGATTAAACTGAAGGGGGAGTATTTTCGGCAATCCCAATCACCACTTTCCTAGAAATACGATACTATATAGCATATGTGTAAGTATGATAAAAAAAAATACTAAAATAGGACAGATCAACGGACGACATCAGCTCTGAGTCACTGACCATCGTTGTGAGCAGTATTGGGAAGTATGGACTTCTTAATGGAGGTTTATGAATTGACTCTAATCTACGGTTGGAGACCTTAGGTGACATGATTTACAATCTTTGTCAGTGGCTCAAATACCTTCATTTTACATTTTCCTCTGAATATTCACATTTAATAGTATTTTTCACTTTTCATTCCTATTATTTATTTGTTTCTTAGGAATTCTACGTCCGATGTTGGATTGGTTACTGAGCTTGCTAGTATTATTTTAACTAAAATGCATTTAATTTTGTTAATTTCCGCTCACTGGATTAGTATCGAGTGTGGAAAATCGGGTTGATGTAAATCTATGTCGGATTACAAGTTGCTTATCATTGACTCCAGTGACAAGTGCTCTATAAAGACCATTACAAATGGAATTCAGTCAGGATCATTAGAAATAAATCTAACACTAAACCAAACAGCTATATAGTTTTTTAAGTTCCACAGGCAATGCAGCTGAAATCTACCAGGAGTTAATAACACAGCAGTCAACATTTCAAGCACATTACCTAATATTAATTTTTAATCCCGATTAAGCATTTATGTTTTCGGCTGATTACCGATAGTTTTAAGTGTTTCAAGAAAGCGTAGAGTGACTTCTAAAAACTTCTTTGAAGGGTAAGTCACTTTATGGGATTTCATTTTAACTTACTCATGTTCTTGTTCAATGATGCTTTGAATTTACGGAGACACAGAGATTAATACATTTCTCGTAAGTTAACATTGTCACCTAAGCCATTCAAAATATTTTAGATTATTTTAAGCGTCTTCATTCAATGGATTAATCATACTAGGTAGAAAAATCAATCCTTAAAAAAGTCAAATAAATGCCATTAACCCTTTTGAAGGCAGAAAAAATAAAACGAATTTAATAAACACCATATCAGCTGATTTATCTATTTTTTTTTTGTAGGACTTGATAGTTTCCCTACTTTATTGATAGATGAAAACAACAAAATTTCTAGTAGTCAAGACTAGCCAATGAATAAAGAGTATTTATGTCACAGTTGATTGGTCCATTTAATTTAGGACATGAAGTCTAACAACAAAAGGGAAAATTTTGGCACTGTGCCAAATTTTTTGACATCGGGTGATTTCCTTTCACTTTATTTTCTCTTTCATACGCACACAAAACACACGAGGTACACATTTATTTGTCACTTTTAATTACGGAAGGAATTGGAAGAAAGCTCATCAGGATGAAAAAATATTGACAGCAATCTGTACGAAGTAGATTGTAATTAGGAAAATTTCAAAAAAGGATGTAATGCCGTTTGGTATTTTAAACATTGTTGCTTTGCTAAAAACAAAAATATATGATCCCTTCCCTCTACATCTTAGTAGCGTCCGTAAAATTTCCGCTATTCTGAACGCTTTCAAGCATTAGAGACAGAATTAATAGATGTAGTTTAACGGTGTTTTGTTAATTTTATAACTTAATATTGAGGTGAAATATATTTCAGTGAATGAGTCCCAATCGAAGCGAAGTAACAATATGATAATCCGGTGAATTTCAGTTTACACAAATTCCTGTATTGAAACAATTTCAAAACAATTAAGAATTTAAGTGTCGTTACAAAATCCGTTATGTCAGAATAAGAAAAATAATTGATGATTTAAGTAAAACTCACTAAATTTGTCTATGTTGAGAGTTACATACTACATTATTATAGATCGGGTCAAGGTCATCTTTTAATTTCAAGATGTGATTATCGTTGTTAAATTATAAAAATCACAAAATCATTCTACACTTCATATAAAGTTCCGAATCATATTACAGTTGATTCAAATGAAATTTCTATTTGAGAATCAGTTACTAAAGTTATAGATGTCAATCGTTGAGAATAAGTGAGGCACTTGTTGCTTTCATCTAGTCAGTTCCTACTACAATGTGCTATGTTGTTTTACTTAAATTCTATTCGCGACGGCAACGGTTTCTTCTCTGTTAGGTTCAAACCATACATGAAGGTACAAGCTACCTAACAAGAGTGTTTAAAGTAACTGAAGCGAAGCTTAAAATGACATTAATTTATATGGCATAAAATCGGTTAGTCACACAGATCAGTCATTATTTTTTATTCTCATATTCTAAATATTACTATACCTCTATCTTTTACTATTCTTGGTACCATCATTTTTATACCATTATTATTCTTATTTCTTATTTCCATCTCCTCCTGATAACGTGAAGCAGGGTAGCTTTGGATGTTAAATTTTATGTTGTCTCCATCTTTGGGTAGGGGGAAATATTAGAAATACTATCTATCTATACATATATAATCCATAATTAGTAAATGCAAGTTGTTGCTTCAGGACTGGCCTGCGTCAACACCTGAACTAAGGATAGGGAGTGAAGTAGTCGAACGCGTTGACAACTTCACTTATCTTGGAAGTCTGATCAGCCCTAATGGGCTGGTATCAGACGAAGTCTCAGCACGGATTCGAAAAGCTCGTTTGGCTTTTGCCAACTTACGTCACCTTTGGCGAAGGCGAGATATCCGTCTATCAATAAAAGGACAAGTATACTACTCGGCAGTCCGTTCTGTTTTACTTTACGGCAGCAAAACATGGCCATTAAGAGTAGAAGATACTCGTAAGTTACTAGTATTTGACCATAGATTTCTTAGAAATATTGCTGGCATCTGCTGGGATCACCGGGTAAGTAATGGTGAGGTTAGACGCAGGGTATTAGGGAACGATGATAAATCAGTTGATGAGGTTGTTAATCTTCATCGACTGAGATGGTTGGGCCACGTGTTACGTATGCCTGAACACCGATTACCACGTCGTGCAATGCTAATGGGTGTTAGAGATGGTTGGAAAAGAATTAGGGGCGGCCAAACCAAAACGTGGCATCAGTGCTTGAAGACACTAATCTCTAGTCTGAGCCATGTTAGTAGGTGCAGATTGCTTGGTTGGGGTCCGCGTGACTATCGTAACCGATGGTTGGAGACTCTTGGTGACACGGCTCAGAATCGATGACAATGGCGTAGGTGTATACACTCTTTGTCTTCCCTTAAACTAAGAGAATAAAATCGCTTCATATCTTTCTACGAACTAATTCTTTCTTCCTGTACTATATTTTCATTGCAATCGTTCTTTTATATATTACCACCTGAATTAACTACTTTTATGAATCCGGTGTTCATCTTGTTGTGTTAATGAGGTATGGCAACTTGGACCGATGCATATATGTGCCTGGTCCTACGTTGTAGCTGACTGAATGACTGACTGAATTAGTAGTTTTTATTGATTAAAAGTTAAATAACCATTATCTCACTACAAATTAAAATATTAAATAGTATTTATAAATAAAAATAACGTTTTGCCCCTGTTAATAAATATTTGTTATGTTTCACATAACTTACTGCGTTCACAATGATCCGAAGATAATGATCGACTAGTTGAACCTCTTGAACAACGATGTGATGTTAGTGAATCACAGGGTCTACGACGTATTGGTAGTGGTGGAGATAAAAGTAATGTCTTTGGAATATTAGTCGGAGTAGCCTTTGGTTTACAAGACAAATGATGTTTAACTACATGTGGGTGTGTCATATTATTCAATAAGTTCCCATCCGCTGATGATTTGTGGCATAAATGGTTACAATTGATAACATGCCGAGTATTCTTTGAACTGTGTATTTGTTGTTGTGACAATAATGGTAAAACTTTATTTCGGACATGTGGTTCAAATGATAACGATAAAAAAGACGAGGATTGTGTTGACGGTTGAATAATTGAGGTCATGAATAGACCAGTTGTTTATAACAAGTTAATTTTCAACGGAGATTTCCCTTTGAAAGATTAAGTGATAGAAATGAAAACTTCTTTAGAAACATTAATATTCTGATTAAGATGATGATGAAGGAAGCTTTGTAGCTTAACTTACACCTTCACATTGATCAGGATAAAAAGTAAATCCTACTAGAAATATAAATAAAAACGAAAAACACAAAAATTATTTAACTATTTAAAACAAAGATGAAAATGTCCCTATTGCATACTTTTTGAAAATTATTCAGGTCTATCACTGACCGAAACTCCTAGTTTAATAACCACGGGTGAATATTATCAGTGTATATATAAGAAACAGGAATAACATTTTAAAACTATAAGGTATTTAAAAAAAGTCCGATATAAATATTTGTTATTTTATCAATTTTAGGTTTAATAGTTAATCATTGCTAAAACATTAGAACTATTTTTCTTCTTTAAACTACCTAATTTCATATTTCTGGAGTTTTTCATCTGACTGAATCGGAATTATCTTTACTACTCTAATGGATAAGTATAACATCTCAAATGCTGTTTAAACATGTTAATCGATGAGTAAGAATGGTTTTGTAAGTTGCACATCGTAGAACTTCACATAGAACGACTCAATGTCTTGGTTTCGCAACACCATTAGCTTTCTTCCAACCTTCTCCCACTCCAGTGAGCACCAACTGCTGAAGTAGGCAGTTAGTCATAAAAAGTACGCGTCCCGTCCACCTCAGTTAATGAAGATTCACTACTTCATCGACCGATTTTACATCTTCCCCTAGTATCTTATGCCTAACCACCCAGTCGTTTCATGATACTCAAACAATACTTCAGAGAATCCAATGTTATGAAACAGAAGCCAACACGTCTTTAGCTTCCATGAGTCGTATTTCGTAGCCGTTAAGTAATACATAGCGGACTACTGCACACCACATATGGTTGACGCACTCAACTACTGTACACCCTACGATCAAACTAAGAAATGGTGAAGGTCATTTATGGTGCAAAAATATGCATTGAGAGGGACGAAAACTCATCTCAAACATGGCTGAATTACTACTCTAACAGATTATAAGATGGGATTTGTCAGCGCCTTTAAATAAGAAAATATCGTCTACTTGTCCTAAGCTGATAAGTGAATATGTGCAAGAGGATCAATTTTCAGGAAGTTAGATGAAGTATGATTTTCAGGACGATATTTTCCAAATAGTAGCATAAAATAAGACATATCGTACAGAACAGACTTTTTTCAAGTGAATATTGAGCAAGAAGAAGTAATGACTGGGGGAATATCATACAATACATACATGTTAATGATGAATTTCAACTCATTTTAACGTAAAGATAGCGCAAGAAAGCTAAAAAGAATCTATAAATCAAAGTAAGAGTTTAGTAAAAACCCTTAGCTGTTATTAAACGAATCACTGTTCCTCCGTTAAAAAGTGACAACTGTTCGCATACAATGAGGATTTCTATCGTTACACTGTTTTCCTCTCGGTTCTGTGATGATTTATACCTCAAGTCCCGCTTCAATTTATCAACAGTGGTTAACTTGTGTTGCGTTTAAGGTTTGAAGAGCATCGAAATCGAATTTTTTTCCCTCGTTTAAATATGTGGCGTGGTTTATACACTATAAGGCATGACGCTAGCCTAAAAGACTGATTTATCAATACATATCGGTCGACACATTAGGTTTAGACTATAGTTCGTTAACGTAAAAGCTCCATTGTCATATAATCAACCCCACAGATATCTTTTAGTCAACAATGAGTAAAATGAATAACCCAAAGGCCAGTTAAATAAAGGAAAAAATACTGAGAGATTTCGTCCTAGCAAGATTTAGACACTTTAATTTCTTTGATGAAAGTGTGATTAGACTGCCTAACCCTATTCCTTCACCTTTCTTCAGGAAGTAAAGTGATCTTAAATTGTTGTTTCGCACCTTAAATGAACTGAGTGCTAACATGTCTCAATTTTTTTCTGCCTCTAGGATCAATCATATGTGAAACCATTTTAACAAAATTAAAAAGCGTGATTGTAGGAACTCAAGGTGGGGAACCGTACTTACCAACCATTAATCAACGTCTGGAACACTAGAGCGAAGTAGCTGGCATTACTCTCTTCAGTGAATACCTGGTAGAAAAATCTAACTCTATGCAACTATGTACTGAAAAACATTAACGCAGGTCTACGAATCTACCATCAATCTGATTGCGGACTGAAATGGTTATTAAATATTCGAAACCAGATATCAAGCGTGCAAAAACAAGTGTTTAGTCGCTGTTAGAAGCTTATTTGCTATAAGGTCATAGAGATTTTGGGAGTAGTGATAAGGAAATTTTGGATAGTGACGCAAACTCATATCCTGATTGAGACTAGTGGGTACGGTACTCGTTAGACTGGTGTCGACTTTTAAATTGAATTTCTAAACTACTAGGAAAGTCTATTAGAAACCTGAGAATTTTTTCATCATGCCTTAGAAAAGATATGCAACCAAACTAGCTATCTTCTATTTGAATAACTTAAGGCTTGAATGTTAATGACTCAGCTTTTATTTTATAATATAGCTAACTAGTCAGTTAATTTTAATATAGATAAGGACTTGGTGAAGCATCTCGACTGTTGTTACAGCAGTTTTTTAAATTATCTTTTGTTTTTACCATTACTCAGTACTTAAAAAAATAGTAGTATGATTGGTACCATGGCAGCAAAATCAAGTAATCAACAATGAAAATATCCATACATAAACAAAAACATGGAAAGAACATATTTTATCACTGGCTTTGAATTAGACAATGTGAAGGTTGAATACAGTTCAAAATCATCAATTAAAAGTAACTAACGTATAAACACCTAGTCATATATGACCACTGCATTCCCGTTCATTTTAATGTTTCCAACGTCATTAAACTACTTATCACTCATGAGCCAGAGTTTCGCAGTTAAATATAGGCATTTAAAATTATAAAAACAATTGACACAATTGCTTATCAGTATGAAAAACAAACCAACGCTACCTAGTGCAATATTTGAAAACGCGCAAAGTCACACCAGTTCACTAGGTTGTTAATTTAGCAACGTTTAAACTAGTTTTGTGGAAATTGAACTCAGCTTTTCTAATGCTGTTGACCTACTGTCGAGTTAAAAAGTCTATATGAAGATGGTAAACATAGTTCTCGAGAACTTATTCACTCTTCTATTTTACTTGTCAGTCTTTTTAACGTAAATCTGATGTCAGAACATTCATTATTTTCACTAAGTTTGTTGCCAACTACGATGTTTATGATCTTACCTGATTTTCAAAAATGAATAGCTTATATGATTGGTTCTCATTCTAAATTGTTTAATTGTATGCTACTCCAGTGCTATCTAGCAGGAGTAATGCATCTTATGTGTTGCGAAAGTTATTTTCGGTAGTTGGGATCGACTAAAGACAGTGAATAGAAATCTTGGCCATTTAAAAAGTGTTAGTTTTCAGTGTATGACATAGACACTACGGTTAACATTTGACAATCGACAATGGTAAAGCTCTCTCCTTGTAGTGTAGAGGTATAAAGTGGTTTTGTGATAAAAATATTTTAATTTTCTGAGCTCGGGTTGTCAGTGAGAATAAATGGCCTTCTTGTTCTAACAACAACTTAGCTATTGTGAGTTTGGGTGAAATATGGTTTCCTCTCTCCAATATATTAACTATGTAGTAAAAGACAACGGTGTGGGGTGTTATTTCCTACAGATACAATTCCAAACTATCCCCCTGAGTGTCAAACACAGAGTCTTAGCTTAGCCAAAGTCACGACAAGTGAACTATTTGGCCTGATAAACCTTAACTGCCTCTGAAACACAGTGCACAAAATACACAGTTATTGCATTCTATTGAACAGGGAAAACAGAGACTGAACAACATACCGAACAGTAACTAGATGATTGGAAAAATGAGTCAACAAAACGAAAATTGTTTTATGATAAAAATAAAATTTCGATTGGTGAATAAGCAAGGTCGAGAGGAGTATACATCGTAGTAAGCGTCTCATCTTATCATTGATGATTTCGATTACGGATCACACTTTAAAAACGGAAGAGATCAAAGTATGACGGCCTCCTGTGAAACTACCAGTGCTATCAGTGATAGGGAACATGTCTACAACAACCTCTAGCTGTTTTATGATGATAGAGCTGAAATTGTTGGTGATAGAGTCATACTCTATATATTTAAATCCGTCAGAGATCTAGAAATTTCATCTTCCATAATAAGTCCTCAGGATGTTTTGTTTTTCAGCGTGGGTGGAATCCGTGTCTTTTGCCTTGTAGAGTATTTTATACATCACCCATAGCCTTGGTTGTGTAACAGATTAGGTTGGTTGGTTAAAAGTTGAGCATAAACAACCAAGCATATGCCAAAACAGTATTGTTCAAGTATTCATTCACTTCCTTATTTTGTATAAGCGTTATATTCCCTATTATCTTATATTGAATGTTGAGAGCCTTTGTTTGTCTGAACAGATAATCCCACGCTCCACTGTGACTGCGCTAAGATCGAAATAAAGACCTATTCACTACTTGTCTGGTTTCTTCTATCAATAGCACGAGGGTTACTTAAGGCACGAAAGTGGTGAGCCCTTTTTGAACACAAATTTAACCTCATTTCTGTTATTAACATTTTTTTTACTTAATCGTAAAAGTAGACCTGATTATCCGTAAACTAATTTGAGTATATAACTAGTTTATTCCGTATTATCTTAAGTTATTCGTGTTATAGTAACCATTTTTCGTGCTAACTTTATTGCTATATTTGTCACATACCTCATGTCAGACTCAATAGAAACCCATAATCTGGAGGATTTGTCACCAGTGGAGATAGACACTGTTATGACTACGAAATCCCGACTTCCAGAATTTGATCGTAGTGATCCTGAGTTGTGGTTTGCTCAACTAGAGCATTATTTCACGAGACACAATATCAAATCTGAAGGGATTCGCTATAGAGA